GTGGGAATAAAAAAGCTTTCTCGGGGTGCCTCGGTGGCTCAGTCGTTAAGGGTCTGCCTTCGGCTCAGATTCTGATCCCAGGGTCCTGGGATCGAGTCCCGTATCGGGCTCCTCGCTCTGTGGGAAGCCTGCTTCTCCCTCTCCCACTCCCCGTGCTTGTGTTCCTGCTCTCGCTGTATCTATCTCTGTCAAATTAATAAATAAAATCTTTTTAAAAAAAAAAGCTTTCTCATAGGATTGTAGGAAGGTTAAGTAAAGTGCCGTATATAAAGTACCTAGCAAACATCCAGCCTAGAAAGTACTCAAGGATCTTTTATCTCTTTTCTTATCTTTAACTGTTGTATTTAATATAAAACAATAAGTAGAAATGAAATTTTAAATATATTTTATATTAAGAGACAACCTGAATAGAAACTAATTAATTTATTATAATATATATATTATATAATTAATATAATTAATTTATTTAGGCTTTTATTGTAAACTTATCTCACCCTATCTTCTGTGAATAATATTTTTCTTGCTGAAGGTACCAACGCTGTTGATAACATCAGTTGAACATCAGCAGTATGATGATTTCTGCTATGTTTTCTCTGCTATGCTGAGGTCTCGTGCTAAAAGCAATTGAGCATGCTTAAGGATAATGAAAGGTTATACCTTGTAGAGGAAAGGGAGGGCAGTCCCTCCTCTTTTACTTTCAATTGCTGCACTATAGTCCAGAGGGGAGTCCAGGATGGGAATCCGTCTGGTGGAAGGAATAGGATGGGATGACTCCCTAGGCCATGGTAAGTTCTAGGGAACAGATCATTAAAAACAGTAGTCTCAATAATAGCGATCAACCTTAGTGCTTTTGGGTCTCAGATACACTGGCTTGTTCACATCAGCATCTATCTTGTTTAATAAGAAAACTTGTAGTGGGAAGACTTTGTTCCATGTAATCTCCCCATTCATGCAGTGAATAACTATTGAGTGTCTACTATTTGGTATCCCAGTGATGTTATTTCTAGTGATGTGGATGAATACTGGGAATAAATAAGTAAATAAATAAACAAACAGACAGACAGACAAGATTGTATGAGGCAGTCCTGACACTGTAATGAAAATAGAACAGGATGATGTTATTAAGGGATGTAGGAGCACTTTGGATGGTATACTTATGGGAATGGGAACTTCCGCTATCTCCTGAGAAGGAAATATCTTCTTGTCTTGTGTGCAGCTCACATTGCCATGAACATAGAACAGCACACCAAATACGAGTTACCTTACTATCTTGTATTTTTCCAGTGATTTCTCAGTATTCAGTAGTTTCTTTGGCTACTGAATGGGGGTGGGGGTGAATTAGCCTTTTGGTCACCTCATCACTTCAAATATAGTTTATCATCAAGTGTATAAACCCCAAAGCTGCGAACCTTACAGAAAATCATGTGATATAAAATAAAATCATGTGATATAAAATAAAATAAGATATAAAATATAAAATAAATTATTTTATACCTTTTTTTTATACCTTTATTTATATATTTTATATATATTTATATATTATATATATTTTATACCTTTATATATATATACCTTTATATATATATATATATATATATATAAAGGTATATATATATACCTTTATATATATTTATACCTTTATATATATATATATATATATACCTTATATATATTTATATATTATATATATTTTATACCTTTATTTTTTATACCTTTATTTTATACCTTTATTTTATACCTTTTATTTTATACCTATGGTATTATATTATACCCTGTGGTCAGTATACATGGGTGTGTTATCTATGGATATAAATTCAGGCTTTGTGACATATCATTCCATACTTTTTAGTCTTTTCCTTTCATGGGCCGTTAGGAATTACCTTCTTTAAGGTCTGTTTTTAACATAATAACCCCATTTTATGTTAGCCCAGGGTGGCCCCAAATAGAAGTTATTCAGAACACATAGGTTTGAAGATCTGGGTTTTCCACAGAACGGCTCTGCCTAGCTGGGCAGATGTCTTAGACTTTCTTTTCTTTTCTTTTTTTTTTTTTTTATTTGCGAGAGAGAGAATGAGAGACAGCACGAGAGGGAGGAGGGCCAGAGGGAGAAGCAGACCCCCCGCCGAGCAGGGAGCCCGACGCGGGACTCGATCCCGGGACTCCAGGATCATGACCTGAACCGAAGGCAGTCGCTTAACCGACTGAGCCACCCAGGCGCCCCAAGACGTTTTACTTTTAATGGAATGCCCAAATATGCCGTGGGCCGCTGGGAAATCTCTCAGCTTCCTGTGTCAATTTCCCCCCTCTGTGTTAACTTTATAATAAGCTAAAAAAAAAAGAAAAAAGAAAAAAGATTTTGGGGAAAATGTTTTGTAGGTGCCACATTATTTATCTCTGTGATGGTAAGAGTGCTTTAATGCTGCTCAAGGCAGCAGGCCAGATAATGCTGCAGTCCTTCATTCTTTGGCGATCCTTGTAAGTCCTGAGCCCCTGCAAGGGCTGGTGCGGGCGGGGCGGGGGGGGGGGCGGGAGAGGAGCAAGCAAGCCCACCCACAGTCCCTGCAACAGGGGGGCAACTTTGAGGTCAATTAATATTTACATAGAACCCTGGATTAAGTTTTTTTTTTTTTTTTTTTTAAAGATTTTATTTATTTATTTGAGACAGAATGAGAGACAGCACGAGAGGGAGGAGGGTCAGAGGGAGAAGCAGACTCCCTGCCGAGCAGGGAGCCCGATGCGGGACTCGATCCCGGGACTCCAGGATCATGACCTGAGCCGAAGGCAGTCGCTTAACCGACTGAGCCACCCAGGCGCCCCCTGTCTGAATATTTTAATTTGGATTTTCTTCTTCTCTCACTCCTTTCTTTCCCGTTTTGTATCTTGAGTTTGATGAGGTCCAAAAAAGTGTTGTGCCCTTAAATTTTTGGCCGAGTCTATCCTAGGGTCTAGCATGCAGAGAAATTCCACATGTCACTGTTGCCTTTGAAAGTGGAAAGTGTTTCGATCCTGTCCCACTGAGCTCAGCACACTTTGGGTTGGATAATAAAAACAATGGTGGAGTGTGTCTTTTCATGAAGTATGAGACTGAGCTAATGGCTACAATCTGGTCATTTGGGGAAAAGACTTCCTACAGAGTTTGGGCAGTTTTCAGAGTGGTTTGAAAAAAGAGAAGTGAGATTAGGAAGTGCACTTAGGAGACTAGGGAAGGCAGTGAGAGGATCAGAAGTCAAGTCTCTGAGGTGACCTATGTGAAGGAAGCGGATGCGGAGGTTGGGAATCCTGTGGTAGGCTGTATTTATTCTGTATTACAGATCAAAGGGTTAGTTTGGCCATTTTATCAGAAATGCAGCCTTATTTTTTAACACTATTTTTATTAAAATGAAATTAGCCTTAGGTTTGGAGAGGTTTTTCTCTTTATTTCTTTGACTGGGAATTATATAGTTATCAGAAAAGATGTTTCCTTTCTTATTGAGCTTCTTTCCCTTCTTGCTTTTCTCCCCCCTCTCAACATAATTAGAATACTTTCACTCCTTTTCCAAAACCTGAAGATGCTGTTTTTAAATAGTAGCTTATTTAAATAATAACCAAAATTTTAATTATCCCCTTTTTTTAAAAAAAGATTTTATTTATTTATTTGAGAGAAAGAGAGAGCATGACAGGGGGAGGGGCAGAGGGAGAAGCAGACTCCCTGCTGAGTGTGGAGCCTGCCATGGGGTTTGATCCCGGGACTCCAGGATCATGACCTGAGCCGAAGATAAATGCTTAACCAACTGAGCCACCCAGGCACCCCTAACTTATCTCCTTCTTAAAGCAAAAGTAATAAATCTTCATACAAACCAGTAAGAGAATACAGAATTAAAGAAAGAAAAATAGAATAGTCTCCTAAAATCCCATTACCTGCACTCATATTAATATTTTGATTTATACGACACCAAACGTTCAAATTTAGGGAATGAGAAAGAGAGGCTGTGGAGGTGGTAGTGCTTGGGAGAAGAGCCAGCTATGAAACAAAATGAAATTGGAGGCTCTGACTGACCCTGGATTGTTGGCATGGACAAGACTGGAAAGCTTTGTATAACCATGTATGTTTTATTTTATTTTATTTTAAAGATTTTATTTGTTTATTTGACAGAGAGAGAGACAGCGAGAGAGGGAACACAAGCAGGGGGAGTGGGAGAGGGAGAAGCAGGCTTCCCTCGGAGCCGGGAGCCCGATGTGGGGCTCCATCCCAGGACCCTGGGATCATGACCTGAGCCGAAGGCAGGCGCTTAACGATTGAGCCACCCAGGTGCCCCTAATCATGTATTTTTTAAAACAGGATCCTGGTATGCAAATTTTTTTGTAACTTGCTGTTTTTATCTATCACAAGCACCATTCTGTGTGATTGTCTTCTAAAACATCTCTCATACAGCTAAATATTCTGTTGTTTGAGTTTCAAAGTATTTTAAACCAATTCCCATCGGTGAATGTTTAGGTGATTCGTATCTTTTAAAAATTATAAACTGGGCAGAGATGAAGATCCCTGTAAATAAATCCATATTCATAATCATGATTATTTCCTGAGAATAAATTTTCAGAAATTTTACAGTGCCAAGGGATATGCATTTAAAGTGTCTCTCTCTCTCTTCATATATCTATATATAGCTTTATAGCTATAACACATATATAACATATCTAACATTGCCCTGCCTAGCTATGATCCAAATAGTGCCTGCCAACTTAGGTGCCCATCAGCAAGGTGTGAGAGTGTATTTTTCTCTATATTTGCCCAGGATACAGGTACTATTCCTTTGTGAATATTAGTAGCTTGATTTCATTATCTTATGCACAAATGCCGCCACACTTATTTGTACGTCTGTGTACGTCTGATTGTATATCTGTAATCACTCTTACAGAATGTATTTTATCTCATGAACATGTCAGTCTGTTATACCGAGTGAGTTTGTAAACAGATAATTCTGATATGTCTGCTCTTAAATATACTTACCTTGACTTCCCAGGTGCCTGTAGGAACATCACCCACAGCCAGTGTCAGATGCTGCCCTACCAAACCACGCTAACACCTCTCTTCTCAATTGTCAAAAACACGGAAGTGGAGAAGTTCCTCAAGTTCTTCATGTACCTCCATCGCCTCAGCTGCTACCAACATATCATGCTTTTTGGCTGTAGCCTCGCCTTCCCCGAGTGCGTCGGTGATGCTGATGACAGGTATTTTGGAATCAAAATCATTCCGTGATAAGAGTCGGTTGTAACAGAGGTGTCTGAGAGGAATGAAATTATCCCGAGCTACCACCGTTTATTTTTGTTAAAGGAGAAAATATCCCATACCCATCACAGCCACTTGTAATTCTTTGAAACTGAAATTTTTTTGTGAAAACTTGGAATACTTTTATTTCTGGAGAGAAATTATCCCGGATGTGAGATTGAGGCAATCAGCTGGGATACTGAGGAGCTGTTTCCGTGAGGGTCTGGCAGAAGACAGCACACTCAAAGGGGTAACTGAAAAGAGTTTATTGAAGAGAAGATTTATAGAGGTATGGACAGGTTAAGAGACCAAATGATGGGAGGCATCAGGGTCTCATGATAGGGGATGCAGTTCCACCACCCAAGACGTGGAGGGGGAAAAAGGGCAGACAGCGACTGGAGAGAGTTTTAGCTATGGGCAAGGGGTCTTCCAACCAGCCAAGTCCTGCGACCCTATGCAGAGGAGCATAGCCACCAGCAGCCAGCCTGTCAGCCTTGCAGGAGAGAGGAGAAAGAAATACTCTGACCTCACTCTACTCCTGCCCTCCCATCTGCCGGGGCCTCCCACCATCCGAACTCACCCACAGCCATTGGGCCAGGGCGTGTTGTTGATGTGACCACAATAGATGAGGTCTAAAATCTCATCCAAATATTATTGGGTCCAAAGTCCCAAATCTCATCCTCTGAAACAGGCATAGGTGAGGTGCTGGGTGGTTCTTATGGTCAACACTAGAGCCCAGAGCAGGGTGAGGAGGGTGAAGGGTAGATGCAGAGGGACAAACAGAGAATGTCTAGTACAATATCAAATAAGATTAGAAAGAATTTTCTTATTTTGGGTGGGGGAAAGAACATTTGAGTGAGTGTGCTTGTGGATGTATCTTGTAAGCTCATTTTTTTTTTTTTTGAGATAAAGTTGACATATAGCATTATATTGGTTTCAGGTGTACCACATAATGATTCAATATTTGAATATATTGCCAAATGATCACCACGATAAGTCTAGTTAACATCCATCACCACACATAGTTATAAATTTTCTTTTTCTTATAATGAGAACTTTTAAAATCAACTCTCTTAGCAACTTTTAAATACACAATACAATATAGTCACCATGTTGTATATTACATCTCCATGAATTATTTAGTTTATAACTGGAAGTTTGTACTTTTTGACCATCATCACCTTATTGAAATAACATAATTTCAATATTACATTATTATATTGAAATAATTTTCAGTAAGAGTAAATCAATGAAAAGTGTGTTATGGAATTTTTTAAGTTTACTAAGTATACATTTTTAAAATTTTTGCAAAGCATGTGTTAAATACGTAATCACATAAAACATCAATTATTTTCTGAATTAAAATGTTAGGGAGTTTTCAGAATAATAATGTTAGAATGAAATTCATTTTCAAGTGCAGGTAGGTTCCATGTTATTTGTACTAATTTAGTTAGTGTATAAAATATGTTTTGAACAGAAGGAAGGCATTCATTGTTTTGATTGGGGAAAGCCTACATTGCCACAGAATAAAATCTGCGTAGAAGAGAAATAGTAGATTGTTTATTGTAGAAGTAAGTAAAGAACTATGAGCAGATACTGCTTTTAGGAAAACATTTCACTAGAAAGAATCATATGCAGAGCATGCTTTCATGGTAACAAGAGAGGAACAGTGGCGGTATAACATGGCGGTTGTAATATTTTTCTAGAGCTGCTGTAACAAATTACTACAAGCTGGGTGGCTTAAACAGACCTTTGTTCTCTCACAGTTCTAGAAACTAGAGATGTAAAATCTGACAGGGCCATGCTCCCTGTGGGGGTTGTGAAGGGGTAGAAATCATTTTCTCCTTTCACCTGCTTCTGGTGGTTTCAGGCTTTCCTTGACCTATGGCCACGTCACCCCGTGCTCTCCCTCCACCCTCACATAGCTTTCTCTGTGTGTCTCTCTTCTCTCGTGAGGACACTTGTCATTGGTCTAGGTAGCCCAAGATGATCTCATCATCTCAAGGTTCTTGACTTAATTATGCCCACAAAGACCTTTTTTTTTTCCAAATAAGGTAACATTCACAGATTCCAGAAGTTAGGACATGGACACATCATTTTGGGGCCCTCCATTCAACACACGACAGTGGCTAAGAAAGCAGGCTATGGGGCCACGTGCCTCATCCTTCTCACCTATAAAATGGAGATAATAGCTGAACCTCCTTTGCAAAGTTCACATGAGGATCAAATGACAGAGGGTGCCTGGCTTTTATGAAGAGCTCAAGAAATGTTAGCAACGGCTATCAAATCAATGGGTTGAGAAGGTGAGGTAGTACTAATGAAATTAAGAGCATAAGGAGTATTTCTAACATATATTAAGTATTGAAGGATTGCAAAAAAAGAATGTGGAATACATATGGATTAAAAGAAAATTAGGTCGAATACTCAAGGCTGTTGGAGTTGGATTCTTGTTCCACTTCTTAATTTCAAACATTTTCACTTACCACTCTTTTCTTGAATTTCTCTACGGAGTCATATGGGTGCATAAATAAAACAATGAAAGAAAGCTTCCTGGGGACTCTGAATTCATTTTGGTCTTCCTTCTTAATATAACTCAATCTCCACTCTCACTTAAATCAGTTGTAAAATTCCGGTTAAGCTCCTCATAGTCTTCAGGGCACTTTTAGGTAAAATTTGTTTTTCTCCTGACCTGGCTCATCCTGAAAAAATGCTCTCCTGTAAGTGTTTTCCATTTTCTGTTGTAATGGATAATAATTTATAGTCACTTTTCAGGTATGCTTTGGGGACTTATCCTATTTTTTATTGTTACATTTATTATTATATTTAATTTTATAATTATACTTCCAGACCAGTGCTTCCTGCTGTCATTTAGTGTGTGCATGGAAACCAGAAGCTAAATTTAATAAGCAAAGTAAGTTCATAAAGGTAAAATGTATTGTAGAAAATAGTGTAAATACAGTTTTCTTATATTTCATTATTTTCGATCATCCATTATACTAATTTTCTCTAACTATTCAAATAATGGAGAATTGCTTATATTCCATCCTAGACAAAATAGCTAATGTTTAAATTTTAGTTTAAAAAGATTAGTGGGGTATATAAATAGTATGGTTTTTAACCTGCCCCTTTGAGACCTCAAATGCTCATTAACTACATTTTATAACAATAAACGTTAACAGTTTTTATTTAGACGAGGGTTGCTATTAATAAATATGTATATCATATACTATAACACAGGCTAACTGAAGTGGTACATAATTTATATGGATTCAATGAAATTTATCTCAAACTATAGAGATCTCATTGATAAGTCATTTGGATAGCCTTAAAAATATATGTGTTAGCAGGAGTAGCTTAAAAATATCAGCAAGTAGCTGGAGAGAAATCCACAATTCCTGGGCCAGGAGAGTAACAGTTTTTTCTGGATGGCTTTTTGACACACCAGATACAATTAAGGTCTCTGGAAGAGAAAACAGGTATTGCAAACACATGCTTTTGATGTGTAATTATCACTCATACCCAAGTTGTTTAAATAATGGGCCTATAATATTGTCAAAACTGAAGGGGGGTCAGTTTGGCTTGGAAGGTCCAGTTTTGCTTCTAGAAGACACCCAGGAGACCCGCTAATGTGGGGTGACCGTCACCCACTCACATCTTCTGATACTTTGCAGAGAAACTCTGTGCTCATGAGATGAGTCCTTAACATTAAAAACTTGACATGTTTGCTATTAATTTTTTTTTCCCTCTGGACTATAGATTTGTCACTAGGTCCTTTGCAGAAATTCTTAATAGCTGTGGAAATGAAATGAAAATTCTTCATTTAGCCAGATTACTTGAGATTCAAGATTATATTTCAAACCTAGGAACTACAGGACAGTTTTCTGTTAATGTACTTAATCCCTGTAGGATTGTGATAGGAATCAAACGTGTTTCTTCAAATGAGCTTCTTAAAAAATGCTCTGCTTTTTCCCAAATAAGTATGTTGACTGGAAATTAGAAAATTTAATCTGGCAACTACAGAGAAAGCACTTGAGGGGCTCCTGGGTGGCTCAGTCGGTTAAGGGTTTGCCTTCGGCTCAGGGCATGGTCCGGGTGTCCTGGGATCGAGCCCTATGTCGGACTCCTTGCTCAGTGGAGAGTCTGCTTGTTCTTCTCCCTTTGCCCCTCGTGCTCTCTTTCTCTCTCTCTCAATCTCTCTCAAATAAATAAAATCTTAAAAAAAAAAAAAGCACTTGAAAGTTTGGGGGCAGATGAAACCTAATTCTGCCAATTGCCAGTTATAAGACCTTGGGCATTTTAGTTAGCCTTCTGACCCGCAGTTTACTCATCTCTATAATGAGAGCCTTCATAAGCTGCATTTGTGTGTGTTAAACAGAATGATTTATATAAAGTGCCCATACATGGCCTACACTATATGGCACAGAGTAACTTCTCCATGAACAGTAACTTACTATTATTGACAGAGTAGTCAATGATGATAAGTGAATTTTCTGGGAGGGTATAAACTTCATCACTTCTTTCAGAGATGCAAGATTTGCATTTTTTTCCCCATTCTTCCCACCTTCTAAACCTGATTAGTAATGTTGAGCATCATTTCATGCTCTGTATGTCTTCTTTGGAAAAATACCTATTCAGGTCCTCTGCCCATTTTTTAATTGGGTTTTTTTTTGGTGTTGTGTTGTATAAGTTTTTTATATATTTTGGATATTAACCCCTTATCAGATATATCATTTTCAAATATCTTCTCCCATTCAGTAAGTTGCCTTTTTGTTTTGTTGATAGTTTTTTTCACTGTGCAAAAGCTTTTTATTTTGGTGTAGTCCCATAGTTTCGTTTTGCTTTTGTTTTCCTTGCTAGAGGAGACATATCAAGGAAAATGTTTCTATGGCTAGTATCAAAGAGATTACTGCCTATATTTACTTCTAGGAATTTTATGGTTTCAGGTTTCATATTTAGGTCTTTA